AGCTGGTCTCAAGGGAGGAGACAGGAAGGGGCAGGGTGGAAATGGTACTTCCAAAGACGAGTCTTCCAGCAGTATTCTCAAAACATGGTGCTGCTCTTATCTTTATTTTTCTTCCGTACAGCCTAACGATGCTTTTTATTCTTTCACAGGCACAAGCATAGCAGGGTTCTCCCCCCCTTTTTTTGGCTAAGTTTTCTCTTTATATATAAAATAAATTCTTTCGTTTTGAGAGCACCACCTTCAAAGGCTACTGCATGCCAACTGCTTCAGTAAACCAAAAGAACCAAATGAATGCCTTTTTTTTGTAATATTATCTTGGTTCAGTTTGTATTTTGCTAGAGATCTTTGTTGTTTAACCCCAGAATATGTATGCGAAACATCTTAAGTTTTTATATATGCCGCGCACACACACACACACACACACACACACACACACCCCTACCCCTATCTATCTATCTATCATCCATCTATCTATCTATCTACAGGGCTCCCCCCCCCCAGCCAGAACTCACTGGAACTCAGTTCTGGCCCCTCTCAGGTGGGGGCACCATTGCCATTATAAGAGAGCAAGGGAGGTGCTCATGATGAGTTCTGGCACCTCTTTTTCTAGAAAAACAGCAGTGTGTGTGTGTGTGTGTGTGTGTGTGTGTGTGTAGAAAAGCATGGCAGGTGGGACCAGGCCAATTCCACAAACAGCAGGGACCAGTAATTGCGGAATGTGCTGAGATTTCAGAAACTATTTTTTTATATAAATAAAAAAGGGAAATGTTATCAGCAATGAGAAGGCATTCTATCCATAGGAGCAATTGTACTCTGGCTTTGGCGAGCTGTTAGCTACCCTTCAGGTCATATTGTTATCCTGAGCTATTCAAAATGATGTAATATGGAGACAAAGCAAAAGTTGTTTAAAGTTGAAATAAAGTTGTTTAAAATACAGACCAAATCTGATTTCTGTCAGCGTGCCAGTTTCTCGCACCTCCTGGTTCAAGCCCAGTATAAGGATGTCAGAAGAGCCTGCTGCTGGATGAAGGCCAGTGGCCCAGCCAGTCCAGCATCCTGTTCTCACGGTGGCCAACCAGAGATCGGTGGGAAGCCCACAGTCAGGATCCAAGCACAAGAGCAGCTCTCCCCCTGCTGCCTTTCCCAGCAGCTGGTATTCAGAAGCATGGCTACCTCTGACCATGGAGGCAGAGAATAGCCATCATGACCGGTAGCTGTTTGCAGCCTTCTCCTCCATGAATTTGTCCAATCCCATTTTGCAGCCCTCTCTGCCTAAGTTGATGGCCATCATTGCTTCCCAGGGGAGTAAATTCCATAATTTAACTCTGTAACACTGTGTGAAGGAGTTACTGCCTTTTTTTCTGCCCTAAATTCAGATTCATTGAATGCCCAGTGAAATTCAGCTTGATGCATGTAATAGCCCTTTCTTGCATCATCAAACACGTGGCTCATAAGAGGTGTTTTGGCACAGGGAGGGGGGCATGCAGTAAGCAGGTGCAACCCTACTTCTCAGTTCAAAGCTTGAACACTCCTTTCCACTCACATGACGGGATAGGGGACCCTAAATTAGGATGTGGGCTCCTTCATTGGAGGTGTTCACCATTCCTGTAGGAACAGCTTGCTGAACCAACTCACCCAGGAATGCACAGAGGACTGAGCAACCTTCTATGTAAGAGATTCTGGGGACGAAAAACTTGCAATGCAGGTAGCTATGTTCGCTCTTCCCAGCCCAAGCAAACAGTTTGGGATTTTGACTGTGAAATAGCATGGAGGAAGGGGTTTTAAAAAATGATCCCAGTGCTCGTGTTGCAAACAAACTGGCAGCTCTCCTCATGGCTGTATTTTGGGTGCGGAATCCAGAAGCTCAATAATGTATCACGGTGTAATGTGTAGTTTGGCCCTGTGTCACTGGTTGCAATGAAGCCCAAATGGTGCTGCTTTGTACATTTCTTCTACATCCCTCTGGCATGCCTATCATAGATCATTCTGTACTGGTTGCATTTCTTTACTACTAGCTGGAGAAGCATGCATCTTTCAAAACATACCTTGTAAATAATATGTATCCATATCTTGCAAACTTGCTGGAAATCTTAGGAAGACTCCTAGTATCCTAAAAAGTGAAGTTATTCTCTGCAATGAAAGGACATTTTGCACCTTGGAGGGTTATCCAAGATTCTAGTCCTTATTAGATGAAACAAAATGAAAACCTTTTGGGGGCATCTATTGACAAACTCAGAACCTAGAAGAGGCCACTGTTACGTTTGCCCTGCCTGTCCTAAGTTTTCCTTCCCCTTTCCCCAAGGATGGGAGACTGGTAGCCCTACATATGTTACCAGACTACAACTCCCTTTGCCCCAGCCAGCCTTGCCAATGTTCAGGGGATGGTGGGAGTTGTAGTCCCAGCAACATCTTCAGGACCTCAGGTTCTCCATCCCTGACCAAACCCACCTGCTTCCAAGATGTTGCAAGTTAGGGAGTTTGTGGAGTGTGTGAAGGCATCAGGACCAGAACATTCTGCAAGAAGAAAGGATGGACTGAATAATATCTGAAAGGACTTGGGGAGATGGCTTCCTGTACTGTAACTTGGGGCAAAGAACATACTCTAGTGGCCAGAATTGTGGAAACCTTTAGGGAAAGTTGTACTTCTAAGGTTTGGTGGCTCATAACTTAAATCTTATGGGACGCGGGTGGCGCTGTGGGTAAAACCTCAGTGCCTAGGACTTTCCGATCGTATGGTCGGCGGTTCGAATCCCCGCGGGGGGGTGAGCTCCCGTCTTTCGGTCCCAGCTCCTGCCCACCTAGCAGTTCGAAAGCACCCCTAAGTGCAAGTAGATAAATAGGGACCGCTTACTAGCGGGAAGGTAAACAGCGTTTCAGTGTGCTGCGCTGGTGCTGGCTCGCCAGAGCAGCTTTGTCACGCTGGCCACGTGACCCGGAAGTGTCTGCGGACAGCGCTGGCTCCCGGCCTCTTAAGTGAGATGAGCGCACAACCCTAGAGTCGGACACGACTGGCCCGTACGGGCAGGGGTACCTTTACCTTTAACTTAAATCTTGTTTTAGAATAATACCAGAAAATGATGCCATAAAAACATATAGCAATAGAAAGATTATTTAGTGTGGAATATAATGCAACAAATTTTGCTGAATCATCTTTATTTTATCAAAAGGTATAGCCAAATAACCAGAAAAAGAAAGCACAACTGCCTTGTGTGGCAAGAAGTAAAGCTAAAGGGACCCCTGACCATTAGGTCCAGTCATGGCCAACTCTGGAATTGCAGCACTCATCTCGCTTTATTGGCCGAGGGAGCCGGCGTACAGCTTCCGGGTCATGTGGCTAGCATGACTGAGCCGCTTCTGGCGAACCAGAGCAGTGCATGGAAATGCCGTTTACCTTCCTGCCGGAGCGGTACCTATTTATCTTCTTGCACTTTGATGTGCTTTCGAACTGCTAGGTTGGCAGGAGCAGGGACCTGTCGCGGGGATTCGAACCGCTGACCTTCTGATCAGCAAGTCCTAGGCTCTGTGGTTTAGATTTCCTTAACTCAAAAGTGACCAGTGGCAAATGGAGTGTGACTAGTCACCTAGAAAATGGTGTCATAGCCCTGACCTAAATCCAATAGAAAATCAGTGGAGCAAATGAAAGAAACTATTTTAGTCAGGGGCAATCAAGGAATAAAGCACAATTGATAGAAGCAATCGTGCAATCTTGGTTTCACATTATAATACCTGGTGGCCTAAACTCCTTGGTTCACTCCATGGGATGCTGATGTAGGGCTGTGATTGTGGCCAAAGGTTTCCATACAAAGTATTAAAACAGAAATGGTGAGAAGTTATGAAATACCCTTTATCATGTTTTTTTGTGTTTAACTTATTTTATTTGGCTATACAGTAGTTTTTTTATAGAATAAAGATAATTCATCCCAGATTGTTGCATTATATTCTTCATTATAATCTTATTCCAAAAAAGACTGATGTTATAAGCCATCAAGCCTCAGAAATACAACTTTTCCTAAACGTTTCCATAATTTTGGCCACTAGTGGGGAGCGGCCATAAGCTCAGCGGCAAAGCGGATGGTCCTTCCTTGCCGATGGTCCCAGATTCAACCCCTGGCATCTCCAGGTAGGACAGGGAAGCCCGGAGAGCTGCTGCCAGTCAATGCAGACACTGCTGGGCTAGATTTGACTCGGCATAAGGCAGCTTCCTATGTTTGTTTGTTTATCATCTTCATCATCATTATTTTAATAACTTAAATATCCACTTAATATAACAACATCTTTAAACAGTTTGACAGATTGCAGTCATGATACCACAAGCAAAACAAACAAAACAAAACAAAGCAGAGTATCAAAATACAATAAGAACCCAGTAGAACTTTACCAAAACAGAAACACTGAAATTATGCCTGCAGGCTGTTACAATGATTCAAAGAAAAGACAGTGACCCATGTTCAAACCCTAAACTGGTTAATCTTAACTACTGCCTGTTGAAACAAGCCAACTTTACGACCCATGGTTCCCATACTGTGTACACAAAGACTCAACTTTAATCCCTGACATCATCAGACAGAAAGCTCAGATAGGAAGTCCCTGGAAGGACCCTTCTCTGCACAAGACCTGCATGGGGAAGCTGAGCTGCAGCCCACAGATCCCACACCAAAGCATCCTTTCACAGTTGTCTTGGAACAGGCAGCAGCATTCCAGATTAAAAGCCCAGAGCCCTGGCGGCTAACTTGACCTACTGAACTTTTGGCTCTCTTAAGTATCCATATGCCCTTGGCCAGCCAAACCACCATGAAATTAGTATCTCACGAGCATGTCTGCAGCCAGTGGCGTAGGTTGCCAGTGCCCAGGGCCACAAGGAGCGGTGGGGAGGGGAGGGAAACAGGCAAATAGACATGCACGTTAAGCTGCCCAACAGCACCCACATCACCCAGGAGATTACAGCCACAGAGATCTGAAAAGAAGAGTTGTTCGTTCTCTGGAGAGGTCACTTCCTGGTTTGCATGGAGCGACAGAAGTACACAGCTGTATTGAGGCAGCACCGGGTGTTGAAATTTTGCACCCCTAACAATTTTTCGCACTGGGCAGCCGTCCCTGTGCCCCTCCCCCACACTATGCCACTGCCTGCAGCATTAATCACACTTTTGCTAATTGATAGCTTGGCGGGGGCTAAACTGTAATCACAGTTTATTAATGGACAGGGAGCAAACCCCCCTCCAAAAAAGGGATTAGAGAAATGATCTGTCCCTTTATAGCAGGCAGCTTGAAATCAAGGTGGGTTACAAAGCCTTGACAAGGAGATTGTGGATACCCAGTTGCTTAGGTAACGAGAACACAGCTGAGTACGAGGCCCAACAGGCAAGGAGGAGGCAAAACGATTTCTCAGCAGCAGCAGCAACAACCAGGGGAGAAGCCCCGCTTGGGTAGGGCCCATCACAGCCTTCTTCCTTTATGACCCCAGACCATGGTGGGCAGCTGGGTAAGGCCCCCTGAGCATGCTGGCCAAGCTGAGATGTGTTGTGAATGGTGGGAAAGGCACAGTGCAAGCCCTCAATGACCCCTTGGTAGGTGAGGATCCAAGTGGCGAACCACAACATTCCGCAGTCACACTGCCAAGGGTTGTGTGACAGGAAGATGTATCTCAGCTTGGGGAGCTCTACCAGGAGGTGGCTGGAGAGGTAGCTCAGGTTGTTCCTGTTCAAGTGGAGGAAGTCCAGTTCCTTCAAGTGGGCGAAAGCAGGGCCTGCAGTCAGGGAGGGGAGAGAAACTGGATTTCATTTGCATTTCGATGGCAAGCAATCAAATTCACGATTCTCAAAGCAATAGGCAGACTGAAATGCAGCTGGTCCTTTGACACCTGTCCTTCTCAGAACTTTGTGATGTGGTTCTACAGACAACCAAAGCACAGATTAGGCAGAAATGTGCATAAATATGCATATATACATAGTACAATCACAACTTACATGCATTTAACTGGCGTGATTCCAGCCGTGTGCAGTTGAAGGTTGGCTGGTTGAAACACTGCAAGCAAGATGGAGAACTTGGAAGAATTTTTTGCACTGCATTTTCCAGGTGTGGAAAGAGCTTTTAAGCTCTCTGCCTCACTTGGGGGGCAAGGCCCACTTAGCATGCTGGCTCCAGAAGGCTGGGGATGCTTGTGCAGTGGCAGTTCCAAGGGGGCAGTTTGAATATACACATTTTCGAGTGTACACAGAAGCCTTGGAACTGAACCCACACATAAGCTGTGATCATACTGTGTACAGTGGAACCTCGTGTTACATACCATCCTCCTTGTGAACTCTTGGAGGTTACAAGCTCTGCTAACCCGGAAGTAGATGCACCTTGTTGTGAACTTTGCCCCAGGATGCAAGTGGAAGTCGCGCACCGGCAGCACAGCAGTAACAGGAGGCACCATTAGCAAAAGCGCGCCTCAGGTTATGAACAGTTTTGGCCTAAGAACGGACCTCCGGAATGAATTAAGTTCGTAACTGGAGGTACCACTGTATATACAAAAGGTTCAAGGTCTTTGCATGAATTTACAAAGCCCAGAACAACTTAGACTAGGCCAGCTCAGGCACCACCTAAATCCTTATCTCCTTGCTTGATCAGTGAGATCAACACTGGAGTGTTATTGATCATTCTTTGAGTTGGTGAGGCTCACTTGATAACAGCAAGAAATAGAGACTTTAGTGTTATCAGCACAGTCCTGCAGAATGCTCTGTCAATAGAGATTCAGCAGATCAAATAATAAATTAATAAATATTGATGAAAATTTTGTGTGCAAAATTCACATTAGTAAAAATCATTTGTGCTGAGAGTACATTAGCCATTTGTATATTAGTCCGTTGTTTCTTAGCTTAATGTATACAAAAATGTGTTTATTAGGTACAATTATCATGGAAATGCTGATGAATTTTCGCAAGGCTGTTGTTGTTGCTTTTAAAGCCACAAATTCCTATAGAAATGTGGGAGATTTTAGAATTTAAGATGGGGGGAGGCATGATAAACTAAGAGGAACTGAAATGGACAAGACCTGTCCATTCTTACCTGCAATGGACAAAATCCGGTTGTTGTTGAGGTAGAGCCTCCTCAAGTTCTGGAGACTGTCGAAAGGGCAGCTGATCCTGGTGAGCCGATTGGCCTCTAGGTGGATGCTCTTGAGCTGCGTCAATCCGCTGAAGAGCTGATTAGGCAAATTAGAGAGACGGTTGTGTCCTAAATTTAACGTGCCAAGCCTGTCCAGTTGGAGGAAGGCGTCCTTCTGGATGGTCCAGATGCGATTCTTCCGGAGGTTCAGCTCTCTCAGGGCTCCCATGTCCTTCAGGGAGTCTCTACCAATGGCTTCGATGTGGTTCCTCTCCATTGACAGCTGTGTGAGGCTCGTCAGGCTCCGGAAAGCTTGTGGGATGTAACGCATGTTGTTGGAGGTTAGGTCGAGGGCTTCCAAAGAGGGGAGGTGGGAGAAAACAAAAGGGTGGATTTCAAAGAGGTTGCAGTGGGATAAATCCAAACTGATGAGGTTATGAAGGCCTTGGAAGGTGTTGGCATGGAGGTAGGTCAGCCTGGGGTTCCTGCTGAGATATAAGACCCGCAGGTTGCAGAGTGACTTAAAAGCTCCCGGGTACAGGAAAGTGAGGTTGTTGCGATCCAGCCAGAGGCTGTTCAGGTAGGTGAGGTTGCTGAAGGCGTCGGTGGTCAGCAAGCGCAGAAAGTTATTGGACAGGTTCAGCGAGATGGTGGAAGCAGCAATTTCCCTAGGGAGGCTGCGGAGTCCAGCGCTGTTGCAGTAAATAGTGGCACCAGGGGAGCAATTGCACGAGGAGGGGCAAGTCGAGGGGCCCAAGCCAGGCGTCAATGAACTGGTGAAGATCAAAAGAAGAAGCAGGAGGTGCATGTCCCAGCATTGGATAAAGAACGCGGACTGCCTTGCAGAGAGAAATGGCAGAGGGGACTGAGATGAATGAGGTGGCTTTTGACAAGTGAAATGAAGCCAAGGGAGATTAAGCTTCCTATGAACAAGGAGGGATAAAGTTCTTAGTCAAATGAGAGCTTAGAAGAAGGACTGGCCAAAGAGTGAACAAATCTGTCTTAAGTTCAGTTCTCTGCATTTCCACATCAATTTACAGCTCCGTTTTCAAAACCAACCCTTAAGAAATGTAATCTGCATTTTAGTAATAATTCCTCCTGACCCATAATTTTTCTATGCAATTTTGCTCAATGCAGACAGTTTTGCAAAGCTGTCTCCTCAATATAGATGCTGTTCTCATTTTTATGCACACTTTAACCTAGCATTTGCAGTTTTAGAAACATTAACCAGGATGGAGAACCACATTGCAAACATTAGGAAAAGTGAAAATTCCAGTATATGTGTTTAAGTTTGCATGGAAAGAGCAAATTAGGCAGGTTTGCCTTTCTGTATATATTTATAAAAATATTTGAATAACAAAAATCAAAGTGGTTTGCAACAATTTTACACTAAAATAAAAACCACACATAAATTAAAACAGTTTAGGAACTATTCCCAAAAAGCAAGTGTGAACTGAATCCAATTTCTGCTCCGGACTGGAACAGCATGTCATTAACCACAACAAGGATGCCTGCAGTCTACTTGTTTTGACTGATGAAGAAACATAGCTGTCAACCTTCCCTTTTTTTTGTGGGAAATTCCCTTATTCCAGCACCGTTTCCCGCTGTTATCCCGAATTGTTAGATATTCCGTAGACTGTCCCTGGGACAGGTGAGGCTGCTGATCCCTTATTTTCAAATCTGAAAGTTGACAGCTATGTGAAGAAAGCATTTAATAGCTTGCATGTCTGCAGACCTCCAACATCCTTAGATGCTCTTCACCTATGATCTGCCTTTTTGAGGATTTTGTTGTAGCTGTTGCTCCCTTTAACTTTCTAGTTCAGTATGTGAATCTGCTCTGATGCCACCCTTCTGTGACTTGAGGATTCTGCCTCAACCAGGGCATCCCTTGTCATTCTACACACGCACAACAGTGTGGATCTGTGTGGCTAAGCCCGGATCTACTGCAATCCCATAGAAAGTGGGGTTGGGGCTCCCATGCAACACTTTTCTCCCCAACTAGACTCCATTACCTGAAGAGGGTCTGGCTAAGCAAGAACAGTATGGTGAGTTGCTGGAAATGTGACAGGCTGCTTCTCCTCCTCTTCCTCCTCCTCCTTGAATGGATGTGGATTTATTTTTATTCTTTAGATTTCTTACTTGCCATTTATCATAAGGAATGTGGCAAGCTTCTGAGTTATGCAGCACTCTTCATCTGGCATGAAAGGTAAGATGTCCAACCACCACCCGCTCTGTGCAACATATTGTGTGATGAATACTTTTAATAAACATACCGTGTTTGTTATTTGATTTATTCAACTTTTATCATGTATTTCCATCCAAAGGGGCCCAGGGCAGCAAACAACAAAACTATCAAAGCAATGCAAAGATTTTGAAAATGTTTTAAAACACTCAAATATCCTCAAAATTTCAAAGATGCCAGAAACAGACTATTTCTACAAAACAAACAAACAAAACCATTATGCTGAAATGTTAATAACATACACAGCTCACCATGGAGGGTATTCCAGAACTGAGGAGCCACCAGTGAGAAGACCCTGTCATCGCAACATCCAGCAGCAGTACCACCCAAGGACCCAGCTAAGGACTTCAGGGTGTTGTTTTTTTCTTACAGAGTCTAGGCTAATATGATACCCTTGTTTTGTTTTTTGTTTTTTATATGGCTGGGGTGGGGGCTGGAGGGATGAAACCATGGGCGTGGAGAGGGCTCCTTTTGCTCATTAAATTCCATGCACACACAATTCCAACCGAAGCAGATGGGTGAGGGACAGGTCAGTCAGCAGAGCAGGAGACTCTTAATCTCAGGGTGGTGGGTTCGAGCTCTGCTCGGAGCAAAATGCTCCTGCACTGCAGGGCGTTGGACTACATGATCCTCCTTGTGGTCCCTTACATATCTACAATTCTATGTTTTGAAAACAATGCATACCCAGCTTTGGTTGAAATCTTCTCCACAAAGCAGCTTCCATGGTTTCTCTAAAAGTGTGTTGCAAGCGAGAGCGGGGTGGGGTGTGTGTTGGTTGTTCATTTTAAATCGAAGTAAAATTCATACTGTAAGATGTGTATATCAGAGATGTATACTTTTAGGACCCACACAATTGTTTCTGAAACTTGTTTTAAGCTGTTTTCAACATTGTGTTTTTAATTGTTGTAGCCCGGCTTGGGATCTTAGGGTCAGGGACCCGTAAATAATAAATAATAAAATAAGTTGGGCGGAACAGCCTCGGTAACCAAGAATCCACCACAGCCTAATACCCCGAGTCTGCATTACTCCCTGGAAGGCACTGTAAAGACTCAAAGCGTCACACGCACACAGGCCGCCAAAGGACAGGATTCCCCAGCTACGCATTTTGAACACCCAGCAGCAGCCGGTATGAGCTTCCAAACGGCAATTCCTGCCGCAGCTTTAAGACCTCCGGAGCAGCAACTCGCTTAACGATCAGGCGCCTAATCGCTTCCATTCCACTCAAGAGAAAACAGCTTTTCTCGTGCTCTAATCTGATGCTAATTCTGTAAGGCTCAGCTCAGATTTGCATATTTGCACATCATTAGCGTGCGTGGGCACGAGCACACACACTCCGACCAGAAGACCAGAACACGGAGAAGCCATAAGTCAATCTCTGACAGATCAGATCCCCGTTAAACATTGTGTTTCCCACAACGGCTCAAACAAATGAATTCTAGAATCCCAGAAAAGGCCCTAAGGCGAGAGTCCTCCCGATTGCCCTTCAGGTATCCAGAGGTATACTGCAGCTGAATCTGGAGGTTCCATTGATTGAACACAGCCACTCCTCACGGGGAACCTTCCACCTAATCTGCTAGCTGCCCTCTCCTTCTGAATCCCCAGGCTCTGCAAATGAACAGAGAACTTTGCAGTGGCTGATGTTTGCTGGTGGGCAGCACAGAGAGAAGTTCTTTGGACACCCTCCTGCAGACAGACCACATGGGAGTTTCCAAGTAGGGCTGGTGACATTCCCAGTCTGAAACCCAGAGACCTGAGTCAGATGGACCAAGGATTTGGTTCTGTATAATGCATCTTGCTATGTTTGTGTGCAGATATACGGCTGTAGCCAAGGAGGTGCAGGGGGGCAACTGCCCCCCCAGTAAATAAAAAAAAACCTTAACTGAGTTTCTGCTCCACTCCTCCATAAATCTTGGCTACACCCATGTGCAGATGGACCCAATGCTACTACATGCAAAAGTTGTCTGGTCAGATATGATTCCATTTCATTCCATTTCATCTTTAGTTTGTGTGCCACCTTCCTGGATTGCTATACACAAGGCAGCATACAAGCCAAAGAAGCGTCAAAATATACTGCAAAGATCACACATCTAGTAACAAAACAATCCAATACAAATAAGTCATAATAAAAAAATGACTAAAAAAAAATGATGCATAAAATAAAGTAATATTCAATAATCCATTTAAAATATAATAGTACACAGTAAAATTAACTCTCAGGATATCAGCAAATTGCAATTCCATGATTCTATGAATTGTGCAAATCACCTTTGGGTGACAGATTTATTTATATTTATTTGTTTCTTGAAATGTATATACACTCCTCAGAGTAGTTGACAAAAATAATTTTTAAAATGAAATTATCAGTTAAAAAAAAAATCAGAAAATCCACGCTAAGCTAAAAATCAGTTTAAAATACATGCTAACATGCCGGGACAGGCTTGTCTAGCCCCGAAGGTTTTAAGCAGCACCATAAAGGGTGAGGGTGCCTGCCTGATGTGTGGCTGCTAACACACTAAGTTTGATTTCCTATGAATGTAGGGCAAATGCTTTGTGGCATCTACCATGGTGCCAGTCCTGTAGACTGGAGCAGCTGAATGTGTGTTTGAGCCTATGCATGGATGGGGTAATATGACCTCACAGGTAAACTGGCCCCTGTGTCGAATTCAACCCTTGAGAGTTTGGAAAACTATGGAATTTGGGGGCCAAATTTCCATCTAAATGGACATGGGGCCTAACTTGGAGGGAAGGAGCCTAATTATTCCATGGGTTATCTCCTTCTGAGCCCCTTCTGACTGCAGCCCCGTAGGAGCCAACTTCTAAGGGCCAAGGTCCCTTCGCCCCTCAATAAAATATTTAAGGGAACTGCCCCTCCCAAAGCTGAAGGGCATTGCCATTCAAATGGTGTGTGCACTATGTCATGTGATTGATTATGTGGGATGGGGCTTACCTGGGCCTCCCCAGTATTATATTAAAGTTGGCACCCCTGGCAGCCACTATGTTGCTTGCTGTGAGAGCCCTTTGCTTCTGACCCAAGAAGGAGGTTCAAGCACTGCAGGAATGCTCTGTGGTTGGACTCCAGACATCTTGTAATTTTTCTGAGCCCTGGCAAAAACACAACAAGCCCCAAGGGCTGGATTACTAGATATCTGGCAAACTAAGGATTAGCACAAATGCTTACCCTCATTTGGCTTAAGATGCTGAGCTAGACAGACATAACCTTTGCACAGATTTTAATGGGCCTCTGCAGTGGAATTTCTCTAGTTTATTTTTCAGTTTCTCCTACCAAGAGCACCTTAACTAAGATTCTGTTCATTCCCTGGCCAGGGAGCCTCTCTCCTGGCTGATTCAGTCTCTCTGGCTGCCTGCTTCCCTCTCCCTCCATCTTCTCTCAGGTTCAGTCCCACATCCCACTCCCTGCACCTAGAGTGGGAGGTAATATTTCTTCCACAACAATAATGTTAGGAGCTAAATTTTGTGTGGGTGCACTGCTAAATGAAGAAATGAGCAGTCTTCATTTTGACTTGAGTTCCCTGTCTTCCTGATTTTCAAGCTGCGAGTGCCAATCATTATGTATCCGCCTCTGAAAGAACAGGTGCATAGGGGTTGTTGTTTTGTGTGTGTGTGTGGGGGGGGGTTGTTCTTGGACTATTCCTTATCACTTGAGGCTCAGGTAGCCT